GAGAGGATTCACACTGGAGAGCAAGTGTTCAAGTGTTCACACTGTGACAAGAGATTCAGACTGTCAGGAGCACTGAAAACACACGAGAGGATTCACACTGCCACACACATACACACATGTGATCAGTGCGGGAAGAGTTTCACACAAAAAGGAGACCTTACGGCACACATGAGAGTTCATTCTGGAGAGAAACCATACACTTGTGATCAGTGCGGAAAGAGTTACTCATACTCATCAGCCCTTAAGATACACATGAACATCCACACTAGAGAGAAACTGTACACATGTGATCAATGTGACAAAACATTTTTGAGAGCTTCACACCTGAAGCGGCACCTGAGAGTTCATACAAAGGAGAAGCCACATTCATGTCATTTGTGTGGAAAGAGTTTTTCGCATCCAGAACATTTAAAAGTGCATCAGAAAATACATACTGCTGTGAGAGAGTACATGTGCTATGAGTGTGAGAAGACTTTTATTTCAGCGAGCTGTTTAAAACAGCATGAGAGGATTCACACTGGAGAGAAACCTTATCAGTGTTCACACTGTGACAAGAGATTCAATCATTCAGGAAATCTGAAAACACACGAGATGAACCACACTGGAGAGAAACCGTATCACTGCACTGCATGTGGGAAGTGTTTCAGTCATTCATCTTCTCTACACAAACATACAAAAAACATTCACAGTAAGTAGATCATCTTCAGATCCAGCACTTTCAGATCTGATGCTGTGTCCTCAACAAATCCTCATCAAATGTGACACAATAATGCATCGAGCAGTGAAATGTCATCTGGATAAATCTGTTATTACAAGTGACAAGAAAAAAAAAATCTAAAGTTGAATAAAGTTCATCTTCATCTTCAAAACCAGCTGATTTAACTGAGATTCAGATCAACTCAAAGATGGAGTTTCTCCCCAAAGAACAATGTCCAAAGGTTTTATTCCTGTATATCATTTTGCTTCATGATCTATCATTGTGCTTTCTTATGGGTTTCATATTATGTTCAATTGTTTCATATTATGTTCAATATATTTAATAAGCAGGATTGTAAGAATATTAATACCTTACCGATATCCATCCCTACTTGTAAATCAGTAGGAGAGCGAGTTAGTTTTCAAGAAAAAAAAAATCTAAAGTTGAATAAAGTTCATCTTCATCTTCAAAACCAGCTGATTTAACTGAGATTCAGATCAACTCAAAGATGGAGTTTCTCCCCAAAGAACAATGTCCAAAGGTTTTATTCCTGTATATAATTTTGCTTCATGATATATCATTGTGCTTTCTTATGGGTTTCATATTATGTTCAATTGTTTCATATTATGTTCAATATATTTAATAAGCAGGATTGTAAGAATATTAATACCTTACTGATACCCATCCCTACTTGTAAATCAGTAGGAGAGAGAGATCCAGCTCATTAGTTTTCACTTTTACTTAGCTTGTTTTTGTATTTGCTGATTAAATTGAATTATTTATCAAATGTTACATTTTTTATTAATACATTATCCTTACTTTTTATATTTTATCAACAACTTTTATACTTAAGGAGCACGTACTGTAGAGCCAAATCTAGTTAAGTATGAAAGAGATCCGGACATCATTCGCCATGTTGATGTTATCATGTGACCTATGATGTAATAACAAGCGCAACAACTTAAAAGATATGAGCGACAGGTTTAATTCATCTATCTGTAAATAGTTTGTTTTATTTTAAGTGCAAAAATTTTCATCCACAGGCAAAACTGGTTTAATCTCCTTTGTTTTCCTCTTTTTCTTGTTGAATTTAATTATCTCGTTTCATCCCGCAGGCTTATAAATAACAGAAATACAACAACAACAAATGCAATTTTTGATGCATTATGATTATAAGAATATTATGATTATTCAAAGATATTTACGTCTTTTTTCTGTGTATATAATCTCATACTATGATGTACGCAAACCCATTATAGTTGCTCAGTTTGGCCGGACGGCCAGCTCTAGGAAGGGTTCTGGTCGTCCCAAACGTCTTCCATTTAAGGATTATGGAGGCCACTGTGCTCTTAGGAAGCTTAAGTGCAGCAGAAATTTTTTTGTAACCTTGGCCAGATCTGTGCCTTGCCACAATTCTGTCTCTGAGCTCTTCGGGCAGCTGTGTTTGATTATACTGATTGGACTTGATTAGGAAAGCCACACACCTGTCTATATAAGACCTTACAGCTCACAGTGCATGTCAGAGCAAATGAGAATCATGAGGTCAAGGCAGGCAGACCTCATGATTCTCAGTCTTCACTGTAGAAATTAAATATACAGTCAAACCAAAGCTTATTCAAACACCTTCAACATTTCTCACATTATCACAGTTTATTCGCTATATATTCGCTATAAACAGCAAAATACTCAGTCAACATAAATAAATTAGAATGGGAATAAAGATACAAGAAATTAAGAATAATAGAGACACAACTAAACTGACAGAGTAGTTGTTAAAAATGGATAAATATGTGATATGTGAAATTCAGTGAAACGAGCCATTGTGCTTATCATAAGGTAGCCACAAATCATATTTTTGTGGGACATAAAAAAAGTCTTGCATACTAGGAAAAAGTCTCAAAATAACTTTTTATGTACCACAGAAGAAAGAAAATCATAAAGGTTTGGAACAACACGAGGATGAGCAATTGATTACTCAGTGATTACTTAGTTATGAAGTTCTTGATTTTGGTGAACTATCCCTTTAAGTAAAATACAAGACTATAAGCATCAAAATATACTTAAAGGGGTCATAGGATGCCCATTTTCCACAAGTTGATATGATTCTTTAGGGTCTTAATGAAAAGTCTGTAACATAGTTTGGTTAAAAATTCTCAATGGTAGTGTAAAAAAACACCTTTTTTTACCCTGTCAAAAACAGCTCTTTTCAGATCAAGCCGTTTTGTAGCATTTTCCTTTAAATGTTAATGAGCTCTGCTGACCCCGCCCCTCTCTTCCGAGCTGCTCTTAGAGAGACTGTTTACGTTAGCCGCATTCATCATGAAACTTGCTAATTAACGCATTGTTAGGAAAGGCGATTTGCAAAGATTCTTTACAAAACATTGTACTCACTTCTTCTATACTTGTGTGACATACGTATCACATGTCTGTGATAATAAACAGTGTAAACAAACGCAAATCACCACAGAAAAAGCAGATCGTTTTTTTTTTTTTATATATATTTTTTGGAAAAAAACATCTTACATACGCTTGAACAGGGGTGTCAAACTCAGTTCCTGAGGGACACAGCCCTGCAGCATTTAGATTCAACCCTAATTAAACGCACCTGGTCCAGCCGTGCTAGGGCTGAACGATTTTGGAAAATAATCTAATTGCGATTTTATATGCAATAATTTTTTTAAAGCTCTTTAAGTTCTGTATTATTCAACAAAGACAAGCTATAAATCAAATAAATTGTATAGTATGACCAACACAATATTAGATAGAATAAACATAAATGTTCTTTTCTGTAGGCCAGGCCTATATGTTACGATGAAATTAGGTGATGCATGAATTGATATGAATGACATTTTTATTTAACATCTACAATCACAGTATATTGACTGATTTGTTGAACTTCCAACCTAATGATGGTTAAATAAGCCTCGTGTAAACATTAATATGAAAGTCAATAACAAATCACACAAACTAAAGTAGATTGCAGAAATATAAAAACAAATCTGTTGCATTAGCACACTACTTTAGGTCATTCAAAGTCATTGTAATAAACATATGTAAACATGTGCACTGCACCTTTTAAACATTTTTTAAACACTGTCTGTTAACTTTAGACCAGTGGTTCACAAACTTTTTTGGTCGCGCTCCCCTTTTAACCTATAAAAAAACTCTGCCCCCCCTTCCTCAACCACAGTAGAACCCATTATAATCAGTGACGCTGTGTACACTGGACGCGACATTAAACTGATGCCTTGTTCTATGCCGAATACCTCAAGCGTGAGACGTAAATGTTACGCCCCTCACCATACTGTGATGATGCCCTGTCCGGCCGGAGCGATGATTCAAAAACATGAAAACCCATTATAAACGAGGCATTCGTTGCATCCAGTTGGGACATAGTTATGGATTATAATGACTTATACTGTCTTTTTATGCAGCGTGAGGAATGGCTGGAGGTTTAGAGTGAGCAGAGGCGGGTGGGCTTGAGAACAGCGCGTGGGCTTGAGAACAGCGCGGCCGGCGATTTCGACGAAGGAGCGTCCAGAAGGACATGTGACGACTCCAGGCTGGACTTCGTCCACGGTGAAAGCCGATCCGGTGATCCCCAGCGCAAAGTTGTAGTATTTCCTCAGCAACCAGCACGGATCAGCTCCAGGCATGACGAAGCAGATATCGTCCTCTTTTGGAAGACCAAACAAAGTAGTTTCGCTTTCACAACGAAGCACACAGCGTCTTTATGACATGGCGGCGGCAACAACAATACTACAGTGAGAATAAAAGTTACGCCTTCTTTCTTTGTGTGAACATTTGGGCGGCGTTATGCAAATCTTCCCACAAAGTGAGGTAGACATGTGGGGGCGTGTTAGAACGAGCCATTTTAGGCAGGCGTGGTTGACTCTTAACTTCTATAAAGAATATCTCTTTGGATTTGAGACTTTAGTCTTTGTAACTTTACAGATCTTCTTTATGCACCAAGAGCTTGTAACACTCCAAAGAGAAAGGAAAAATTGAAATCGCATCATATGACCTCTTTAAATGACCAGCACCTGCCTGGGTCTGTGCGACCTCATCTATGGCTTTTCTCTTCTCTTTCACAAACCGATCCATCTCCCATTCTAAGTTACATCCTTTGGCTGTTTACTGTTTTATTTATTTTATTTTTCTGCTGATGGCCCGCGCTCGACTTGAAGCAGCGCTGCTTAGACCAATCGGTGTGTACTGCGAGAGCTATAAGAGAGCACGGACGTCTCATTATGCTTTCTCTCGCCGTACTTTGATGTCATACACGGATCTTATCTTTAAGTCGAACACACCTCTTTACTCTCGCGTGTCACGTGACTGTGTAATCGCAGCCTCTGCAATTGAAAAATCATGTTTTTTCATATCGCAATATTATCTCAAATGCAATTAATCGTTCAGCCCTATAATAAAGTCCTTCAGGCTTATTTGAAAAGTACATTGAATGTATGTTGGAGCAGGTTAGACTTAGTTCCTGGAGGCCGCAGCCCTGCAGAGTTTGAGTTTGACACCCCTGGCTTAGAAAAAAACAGACTTGTATGTAAAAAAAATAAATAAATTGCTTTGTTGTGTGTCTGAGAGACTGCAAATATTCATAACATAGTATTCAGTCTCCTTCACTAAAGTGGTTCTGATAAAACACTTA